AACTTTATGAAAGCTTTTGTAAATAAAGTTGGAATTAGCGACCACTATCTTACCGGTGTGATCAGGAAAACAAATTGTATAAAATATCTTCCGAGAAAAATTTTTGTCCGAAACTACAAAAATTATTCCGCCACAGCGTTTAAAGACAACCTTAGAAATCAACGATGGTTTGACGTGATATTTCACACAGACTTTAATACTGCATGGGACCAGTTCAAAACTATCATCAAAAACACTATCGACCAACATGCTCCTCTCACAGAAAGAATCGTTCGTGGTAAGGACTGTCCCTGGCTAACGAGGGATCTTAAACAGATGATACACAAGCGTGATTATCAGCTGCGTAGTGCCAAGCGCACGAACAAACCAGAACATTGGAGCAACTATCGGAGGCTGAGAAATCAAACAACATACGCCATACGAAAAGCAAAGGCCAACTACGAACGATCAATCTTTATGGAGAATGATCTAAATCCGAAGGATTTCTGGCGCCAGGTTAAAAAATGTTACCCAGTTAAAGATAAAAAGTCTGTAAGCAAAACATTAATGATAGCAAATAAACCTGTCTCCGATAAACAAATTATCTTAAATGCATTCTGCAGATACTTCACGCACGTAACCTCGATAGTCAAGCCATCGCTACTGAATTTCGTAGACCCTGCCTGGTCGCAACCTAATTTTATGAATGATCTTCCAGCTAAAGTGAACCCGGACAGCCATCGATTTCACTTTAGTGGCACGTATTACCAAGAAGTATTGGGAGTCTTAAAGTCAATCAGCGCCTCGAAAGCCGCTGGTTTGGATAATATTCCTCCCAAGCTAGTCAAAGACGCTGCAGAGGAACTTGCCATGCCATTAACCACTCTTATAAACCGTAGCCTGACGTGCGGACTTTTTCCAACCACTGAAAAAATCGCCAAGATATCACCAATTTATAAGTCAGAAGATAAAACCGCTCTTGACAACTATCGACCCATTTCAGTGCTACCAGTGTTCTCAAAAGTACTGGAAAGAATCGTCTATAATCGCCTGTCACTCATACTACCTCGAGGAACACAAACTTCTTAATAAATCGCAGTTTGGATTTCGTCGAAAACGATCAACCAAGCACGCCGTGGCAATCCTCATGGACGACATTAGAACAAACATGGACAATCAACAGTTGACAGGAGCTGTGCTTCTCGACTTACGAAAGGCGTCTAATACAGTGAATCACGCACGTCTCCTTAATAAACTACCCTCTTATGGCATTAATGATGTTGAGCTACTGTGGGTATCAAGTTATCTGTTTGCTCGAACTCAGGTTGTAAACTTCGAAGGGACGTTATCAGAAGAAAACCATATTACCCACGGAGTACCCCAAGGCTCCATCCTTGGCCCTCTCATGTTTGCGCTACTAATTAATGATGTAGGCACCGATTTATCACAATGTAAAATCATTCTTTATGCAGATGACACTGTTATTTATTTCAGTGACAAGAATGCTTCGATTATTGAAAGTACCTTAATTAAATGAGGAAGTAAATCGAATTGCGATATGGATGAAAGAGAAACACCTGACGCTCAATCTAAAGAATGGAAAAACAGATTTTGTCTTATTTGGAACGGCGAAGAAGCTGAGTAAGGAACCCCAAAAAAACAATGTAAGTATAAACGGAGAGAAGGTGAATGAAGCAACAAAATACATGTATTTGCCACTGACTTTTACAGCAGCTGAACAAGTCAACCTGTTAAACTATAGAGTATAATAATAATAATAATAATAACGTCAAATCATTAACATCATTAACGCGATGTGCATCACCAATCTTCACTCCTTGTTTTCAAATCTCCATTACGAATATATAATGAGAGGAATTTAACTCCTAAAATGGAGTTAATTCCTCTAACTCCTCTAGATGGGATTATTTTTGCATACTAATCAACGTTCGAAGACCTCGTTACTCCACCGAGGAGTTAATATAACTCTAAAAGTGGTGTTAAAATAGCACCAAAATTTAACATGACCTAAAATGCAATTAGGGGGTGTTAAAATAGCCCCTGAAAATACATCGTTTGACGTTGATACGGAGAGATTTACTATAATTATTCAGGTGTCGGACATAAAAAATCGTCGACTTTCGGAAAGCGTAAAAAAACTCTGGCATGCATGTGGCTCGTGTTTTTTAACTTTCCAAAAATCTCGCAACATCTCTCGTGCATGGATCACGCAATCCTGCACGGAAATTCAGTATTTACTATTAATTTTCTCACCTCAGGAAAGGTGCATGTCGTTTACTTACAATTAAATTCTTTCATGCGTCTAATGCATGTGCACGACCCAGTAAAAAAGCATCAGGTGTTGAATAAATCGCTTCAGTGAGTAACATTAGGAGGCAATTTTCTAATTGTCGCGTCATCATAATCTGTGAACAATAATACTGCATGTTCGTTAACATTTTCTCGTTACAAAGGTTAGATCAGATGTTAATTGCTTTGCAACCGTTTCCATATAAATATTGTTCAACTGGAGAAATTACTAAACATTACACAGCCACAGGTAATGCGTATCGTTCTTGTCTTTTTAGTAGCTCAATTTGTTTCTTTTTTGTTTGTCTTCTGTATAAAGCTCTAGCATGGAATTTGTTGTGGCTAAAGGGAGTGAAGCAATTGCAAATCGCATGAAGACATTTAATGTTGTATAAAATTTTCAAAATTAAGGAGTCTTTTTAAAAATTAGAATATGAATAATACTCTCTACGTTCCGAAATGCACTTAATTTGAACTCTGGGCAATCTTTAGTCTTAATTCTCATTTCATGGCATGTTCTCAAGCTTCGTTTACACGTTACCAAATTCACTTGTCACGACATTGTTTGACGTTGATACGGAGCAACGGTCATCAGCAAATACGTATTAATTTGATAGATTTAGTATAATTACTCAGGTGTCGGACATAAAAAAATCGTCGACTTTCGGAAAGCGTATAAAAACTCTAGCACGTGGCACGTGTTTTTTAACTTTCCGAAAATCTCGCAACATCCCTCGTGATGGATCGCAATCCTGCACGCAAATTCATAAGTTGGTTTGCTTGCTCGTGTCAATTTTCAGTATTTACATATTTCTCACCTCAGGAAAGGTGCATGTCGTTCAGTTACAATTAAATTCTTTCATGCGTTTAATGCATGTGCACGCCCAGTAAAAGAGCATCAGGTGTTGAATAAATCGCTTCAGTGAGTAACATTAGGGGGCAGATTTCTAATCGGTCGCGTCATCATAATCTGTGAACAATAATATACTGCATGTTCGTTAACATTTTCTCGTTACAAAGGTTAGATCAGATGTTAATTGCTTTGCAACCGTTCCTATATAAATATTGTTCAACTGGAGAAATTACTAAACATTACACAGCCACAGGTAATGCGTATCGTTCTTGTCTTTTTAGTAGCTCAATTTGTTTCTTTTTTGTTTGTCTTCTGTATAAAGCTCTAGCATGGAATTTGTTGTGGCTAAAGGGAGTGAAGCAATTGCAAATCGCATGAAGACATTTAATGTTGTATAAAATTTTCAAAATTAAGGAGTCTTATTAAAAATTAGAATATGAATAATACTCTCTACGTTCCGAAATGCACTTAATTTGAACTCTGGGCAATCTTTAGTCTTAATTCTCATTTCATGGCATGTTCTCAAGCTTCGTTTACACGTTACCAAATTCACTTGTCACGACATTGTTTGACGTTGATACGGAGCAACGGTCATCAGCAAATACGTATTAATTTGATAGATTTAGTATAATTACTCAGGTGTCGGACATAAAAAAATTGTCGACTTTCGGAAAGCGTATAAAAACTCTAGCACGTGGCACGTGTTTTTTAACTTTCCGAAAATCTCGCAACATCCCTCGTGCATGGATCGCAATCCTGCACGCAAATTCATAAGTTGGTTTGCTTGCTCGTGTCAATTTTCAGTATTTACATATTTCTCACCTCAGGAAAGGTGCATGTCGTTCAGTTACAATTAAATTCTTTCATGCGTTTAATGCATGTGCACGCCCAGTAAAAGAGCATCAGGTGTTGAATAAATCGCTTCAGTGAGTAACATTAGGGGGCAGATTTCTAATCGGTCGCGTCATCATAATCTGTGAACAATAATATACTGCATGTTCGTTAACATTTTCTCGTTACAAAGGTTAGATCAGATGTTAATTGCTTTGCAACCGTTTCTAAATATTGTTCAACTGGAGAAATTACTAAACATTACACAGCCACAGGTAATGCGTATCGTTCTTGTCTTTTTAGTAGCTCAGTTTGTTTCTTTTTTGCTTGTCTTCTGTATATCATGGAATTTGTTGTGCTCAAGGAAGTAAAGCGATTTGCAAACCTCATGAAGACATTTAATGATGTATGATTTCCAAAATTATGGAGTCTTATTAAAAATTAGAATATGAATAATATTCTCTACGTTCCAAAATGCACTTAATTTGAACTCTGGGCAATCTTTAGTTTTAAGTCTCATTTCGTGGCATGCTCTCAGGCTTCGTTTACACGTTACCGAATTCACTTGTCACGACATCGTTTGACGTTGATACGCAGCAACGGTCATTAGCAAATGCCTATTAATTTGATAGATTTAGTATAATTATTCAGGTGTCGGACATAAAAAAAATCGTCGAATTTCGAAAAGCGTAAAAAAACTCTAGCATGTGGCTCGTGTTTTTTAACTTTCCGGAAATCTCGCAACATCCCTCGTGCATGGATCACGCAATCCTGCACGGAAATTCATAAGTTGGTTTGCTCGCTCGTATCAATTTTTAGTATTTACGTATTTCTGACCTTAGGAAGGTGCATGTCGTTTACTTACAATTAAATTCTTTCATGCGTTTAATGCATGTGCACGGCCCAGTAAAAGAGCATCAGGTGTTGAGTAAATCGCTTCAGTGAGTAACATTAGGGGGCAGATTTCTAATCGGTCGCGTCATCATAATCTGTGAACAATAATACTGCATGTTCGTTAACATTTTCTCGTTACAAAGGTTACATCAGATATTAATTGCTTTGCAACCGTTTCTAAATATTGTTCAACTGGAGAAACTTCTAAACATTACACAGCCACAGGTAATGCGTATCGTTGTCTTTTAGTAGCTCAGTTTGTTTCTTTTTTGTTTGTCTTCTGTATAAAGCTCTATAGCATGGAATTTTGTTGTGACTAAAGGGAGTAAAGCGATTGCAAATCTCATGCAGACATTTAATGATGTATAATTTCCAAAATTAAGAAGTCTTATTAAAAATAGAATAATATTCTCTACGTTCCAAAATGCACTTAATTTGAACTCTGGGCAATCTTTAGTTTTAATTCTCTTTTAATGGCATGTTCTCAGGCTTCGTTTACACGTTACCGAATTCACTTGTCACGACATCGTTTGACGTTGATACGCAGCAACGGTCATTAGCAAATGCCTATTAATTTGATAGATTTAGTACAATTATTTCGGTGTCGGACATAAAAAATCGTCACTGTTTTTTATTACCTACTGAATTTGGCTTCTTCTGTCGGCAATCCGGTATCGCGCAAATGGGACCTCGTTCTAAAATAGAAGAAATTATAATTTGAGAACTTTTATGTCATTTACGTTTACATTTACGTCATTAACGCCGTATTCTACGAAGTTTCGTTGCCAAATACAGTTATTTACCTGCATGGCTTTACTGAATCCTACAAATAACCTTTCTTCTTATTTCATCTCTTTAGCTATAGCATATATTTTTGTACTAAATTGATAATTAAACGAGACTTACCTGCAAGTTGAAGTTTGATTGTAATTCTGTCTTGTCATCAGTCCGGAACGAAGGATGCTGATCGAGCCGTATTCATAGCGCTGTAACCCAGTCCCGTCTTAGAAAGTAAAGTCAGGAACTCGATAGCCGCATCTAATCCAGGATTGAATTTCGATATTTTGTTTTCTTCGCAATATTCCTCCCATTTTTTTAAATATGTGTTGTATTGTTTCATCGTTCCTACTCTCCAGGAAGACATTAAAATGTCTTTAGTCGTATCCGGTCCGTAAACGAATATTGGTTTAAGCTCTCGCTGACAAGAGACAAACTAGTAAAGTTAGACTGGCATGCATTGGGTGTATCGCTTGTGGATCTTGTGGTAGCTGAAGGAGCGTTTTGCGTGGCTTTAGTTTTATCGGAGGTTCTTTGAGTAACTGCATTGCTTTGGGATACCAATATTGTGTTGTCCAATCCGAAATAACGACTATCCCCTCGGCTTTTTCTTGACATATCTTGTTTAATACTAATGGAATGACAACTAAATGGAGGAAAAGCATATAGTTTTAGGTTTTTTCCATTGCATTGTAAAGCATCAATCAACAGCTTTGGGATCTGGTCTATATGATGCATATATCGGAAACTGTTTATTTTACTCTAGAAGCAAATAAATCAATTTCTGGAGTGAAAGACAATTTTGTCAGTGCACCACTTAAAACCTGTGGGTCTACCATCCATTCTAAATTGTTATTTTTACATCGGGATTCAGTATCTGCTATTGTATTAAGCACGCCAGGAATGTAAGAAGCACTTATCCAAATATGTCGTGTAATACACCACTCCCATATATCCTTACAAAGTTTATTACATTTCTCCGAATGACTTGTGCCCATGTGGTTCAAAATAGTGACTCCCGTAGTGTTATCCAACCTAAGGCGGGTATGAATATTGTGTTTGTCTTTAGCAAAGGTTTGTAAACCTAGAAATGAAGCAAGTAGTTCTAAATAATTTACGTGATGCTTTGCTTCTGCAAGTGTCCATTGCCTCCCAGTTGAAATGCCTTGACATTCAGCACCCAATCCAGATAATGAAGCATCTGTAGTAATCTGGAGGGTTGGTGGGTCCTGTAAAATATTATTTTGTTCTGTGGCTATGTTCCTTATCCACCAATTAAGTTCTTTTTTGGCAGGAGTGGACAAGGTCGTACTGGCATCAAAATTTCCTTTGTTATATTTTAAAGCAGATGTTTTATCACTTTCCAAATATCTATAATGAAAGTGGGCCGTAGTTTGTACCTGGGAAGGTTGATACAATTTTCCCAATAACACGAGCAACTTCCCGAATTGATGATACTCTCGCATCTAATAAATTTTTACAAACTTGTGTCAGGCCCTTGACCTTTTCCTCAGTAGGTTTAACAGTCCTCGTTAAAGAGTTTAGTGTAAACCCTAAAATTGTAATGACTTGTGATGGGAGAAAACATGACTTGTCAGGATGAACAACTAAGCCCAGTCTAGTAAATAATGTAATTGTGTCTATTAAATTTTCCAAGTACTGTTGAAAACTTTTACCCTGCAAGTAAAAATCGTCTAAATGACCCAAGGAAATGTGTCCTTGTTTATGAAAGTGAGATAAAGGAACTTTTAGGAGTTTTGTAAATTTCTGGGTTCGGCAGAAGAAAGGCCATTTGGTAAGCTAGTGAATTGATAAAGTTGACCTTCCCATTGAAAACAAAGAAATCTTTGGTCATGCATGCTTATGGCAAATGAAAAGTAAGCATCCTTTATATCAATAGATGCCATGTAGCATCCTTTATCCATCAACCTAATGATGTTTGTCAACGAGTCCATTTTAAAATGGTGATATTGAACAACTTCATTCAGTTCATTGAATTTCTTAAGGTTTAAGATAAGACGATAAGTGCCGTCCTTTTTGGGACAGAGAAAGGCACTAGATATAATTTGTCCTGGCTGACTACTTGCAGACTTGACAATTTTCTTGTGTAACATCTCGGTCAATATCTGTTGCATATGTGTAGTCTCAGCAGGATCTGGGATATGATACACGTTTTGCTGGGTTGGTGTGTCAGTACACTCAATTTTAATCCCAGCAACATCTGAAAGTATGTGTTTGTCTGATGTTATTTTTGCCCACTCATCCCAACAATGTGTAACCTGGCCCCCTTGGAACGATTGACATAAGGAAATTAAATATTCTTTAAGTGTTGGTATAAACTGTGGGAAATAACTTACATTTTCACGAATTTTTTCTGAACAATGAATCATTTTCTCTTGTTCTCCATTGTGGGCTTCCGTCGTTTGGGGTTTGAATTGTGGCCTCTCCAAAAAAACTCCTTCTGACCTTTGTTATAACGATTAGTAGGGAAGTGGTTTTGGTCGTTTCTCAGCATTATAGGGTTTTGCTCTGTATGTTGTACGGCGTTTCTTTTGCTGATTTGTTAGGTTTTGGCCCAAAGCCTTTGTCTCTTTTGCCTCTTTCAAGTTTTTTGGGAGATCATTCCCAAATAGTAAGGGACCATTTGGAATCTCAGCCTTGCAAATGGAGGCATAATCAGGGTGTATAGCAAACCGTATCTGTTCCCGACAAAGTCGCGATAATTCACAATTTGCATGTCCTAGCATTGCTAAAGCATCTACTGAACGAGAAGCTAGATTTTTGTTTAAGGATCCATTAGTTTGAGGAAGAAGTTCATCTCCCGTTTGTAAGATTGAAATAGCTACTTTGCGAAGAGTCTGTTGTGAATTGGATAACTGAAGATCCATTTTCTTCTTTGCAGACGACAACAGTAGCCATATTTCATTATTTACCTTCGTGGGAACCAGATTTGAAACATTTTCAGGTGTGTTATAACGCTCGGTGAGGGTCTTGATTTTTTCAGGTGTTAATTTTGTGCCCCAGCGTTTATCAACAATTTCTGCTAATTGTTTCTGGATTGCGGGGCCAGTCGTTTCATCCTCGTCAAGTAGATTTGCTAGTTCTTTTAAAGCTGAGTGATCTACTTCTTGTTGGTCAGTGACCTGTTGGGATTGTAGCTCAGTAAGCAAATTTGTACCCGCGCGGACACTATCATCATAACTAGCATGAATACTTATTGGTTCATCTTCCTCCTCACGAGGGCATCGCCTTTTATATGACCGATCTTCCTCATCAGGACTCGTCGATTCATTTGAATCATTTTGACATTTCTTTCGTCTTTGAGGCCTGGCGCGATTATCTGAAGGCGTCTTGTCCGGTTGACAAGTCGTTGGACGCCGGTAAACAGCGGCAAAGTGTTGACAACAAAGAAGCCATCTGGCCCATATTTTCATTAATATTCATAAGAACTTCCGTATTTCTAACCTCTGAGGGTTGTTCTTTTCGGTTCGGTGAACCTTTCTGATGACAAAGTTGTGTATTTTGGGTCGGGCTTTGTGATCTTTCTCGACCTCGGCTGTCTGCTTCGCGGTCGGAAATATGGTCTTTATCGATGATTTTAAAACGATTTACTAACTTTGCTGAAATAAAAATCCGTTCAACATGTAAGGGTAACTGTGGTAATATGTTCTTACCTTCTATAAACAAAACTTACCAACCGATTGGCAATAAATCCAAAGGATCATAAACTTTTCCCTATAGCAAAAAAGTTTTTATCTTGGCGGAACAGCGAACACGTTAGCACTGATTGGCGATGCACACATGCGCATCTCATGTGAATCCGTAGTGACGTAGACTGATGACAAGATAGAATGGACTATCAAAAGCTGGTAATCGTTTTGGCGATGAGTTTCTCATGGATTTCTCTGGCCCATTTTGACAACCATCAGCAAACAGTCCGCGTGAAATAAACAGAATGTTAAACGTCTCCATTAAGTCACCGAGGATGCAAGGGAATGAACTCATAAAAACGTTTGTTTCGATAGCAAAAAGATTCTCAGTATGTGTGTATTAATAGGGTCAGGAAAGAAATTGCGCTTATGCAATCGTCTACTCCCAATGCAGCCGGCAATGCATTAAAGTATTCTCCAAAGTTGCCAAATACCCAAAAAATTGCATTCTTTCTTCACGACAGTATAACGACATACAGGCCCGTTTTCCACAAGGCAAATTATTCGCGCAAACTGACAAAAAGTAGGAGGAAGTCCTGCGGAAAACAGGCTTTACGGCAAGTACGACACACATGCAGATCGTAGAAGTATGTTTGCTATCTCATAAAACTTAGTCTACCGTATTTTCTCAAGTCACGACCAAGATGTAGATCCAGTGTAGTTTTCCAGTTATTTAGTTACAAAATGTCGCGCCTCGTTGATGGGAATGTAGATAACTACCATATACATTCGAGGTCGTAATAAGGTCTTGCATATGTTACAATCATATCCTTTTTCTCTGAAAACAATGAACATATAATTGGCATGTTGGAAGGACATAACGGATGTCTGTAGCTAAATGCAATTCTAAGAAAATACCCTCTATTTTCCGGAAATAAACGAAATTCCTAAGATCGCCATTTTCAGAAACGAGGTTTAGCGCGCAATGGGGAACATATTAAATACCTGTAATTTGCTCTGAAAAGGTTCATCATTCCAAAATATGTTCCAGAATTAAATACCGACTTTTTAAAAGCAATATTGACAGAAAGTTGAGTGCCAACTGAGGGCGTTACCGCCGCGAAGGAATGTCATATCTGTCTGATTATGCTAAATTTATTGTTAAGGAATATGATACCTATATACGTAAAATTTCGCTTGATTAATGAGATTGGATCATTTCGCTATAGCTGCAAAAACACCACAAGACATTCAATCCGTGGTTCGTACAACAGCTAAGCAACGATATAAGCAGGTGAAATTATACCCTGGAATGGTGCAATATTTCATCGATACAGTATTCCATGCCATGAATCATGTTTACTGTTATCCATATAGTTTACCGTTTACGTAAATACTCTGCGACTAGAAGAGTTTGCGCAGCTAATTTGACCATCTGCATATCTGATTTGATATTTTGGGAATTTTATTTCTCTTATAACGCATTCGATTTAATATAATACAAATTTCATTTGACCACTAACAAATTTGAATTGAAAATGGTGTAGATCTCGTACAAAAAACAACTCAGACACAGAGTTGGAATAATTAACAACAAATTAATTATTAATCAACGAACAATAAATTCAATTACTAAGCAGTTCGCACGGAAAAGATGGGGCTAATCTGAAAGCCCATCCGAATATACTAATATGCAATTACATTAAGCTCGCGTGAAAAAACGGAGAGGAGGGCGGGTCGAATTCGGTCTGTAATGACCTTGTCGAAGCGAAGAACGAAGGAAATTACTCATGCGTTAAACTAAAGTATTAATCTACTTTAAATCTCAAGTGCAGGAAGCAATAAATTCTTTATTGGTATGCCAATAATTCCTCTTTATTTCAAATCTTAGCTGCAACAGGTTTTCTGATTAATAGGCCTCTCCTCTTTTAGCTTTCAAGCGCGCAATGCGTGACGGTAGTTGATTATCAAGCTACTTTGAATTGCGATATCGCTCTGCTTAGACAAGCAATTTTGCATGTTTGTAAGAAAATTTTGCCGATTGTCTTTGCTTCTTTATTAAACTAAATCTTTGAGGGATATTATTGATTAAATGTCCCGCAAACCTAGGAGGTTTAGGTAGTTCATAGAACGATTATCATAGAGTTTTAGGTCTCTGAAATATGAAAATCAGTAAAAATCTTTTCATGCCATATTGCGCAAGCCAAGTTGCTCTGACTCTGAGTGAAAAAAGACTTCTGGAACCTTCAATCACCATAGTTACCAAGATCAGACACCCCTAATAAATGAAAAATAGCTCGTTTTCAAAAAAATGATAATTTAAACATGGAATCGATATCCGGTGGAAATTGAAATTTATATCACGTGATATTTATATTGTATTTGTCAAGTGTAAAGATCACTCAAAACTACAAAAAAATTTGCTTTTGTCTAACGCTTAATCATATCTGCTATATATAAAGATTTCTGATTATTATTTTCCAATAATATAGCGAATGTTTTTAGTTTATAATACAAACCTTTGTTTCTTTGCAGAGAACATAAAAATCGTTGAGGCAATAGAAAAGGCGGCTAGAACACATGGCGAATCTTGCACATACTGGATTACTCGTTATACTTTCACTGTTAACAATAGATTCCTGTAAGTATATGTGGTGTTAACCAATCAGGAAAAAAATACATGAAATCTACAAGAAAACGGTTAAATTCCAAGAAAGCCCTGAAAGATTCTTTAATCATCCGTGTTGCCCTATGATATTCCTGACAATATAATTTTACTGTTGCATGATATTTTTTTTACTTAGACATCATTACCCATATCTTAGCCTATATGTTATCGATAAACGATGGTAAACTGTTAACTTGTTTAATTCACGCTAAAAAGTAATTTAAATAAAAGTCTGTTGAATATTTTTGTGATCGGTTTCTTTATGTTTTAGCTTATGCCCAGTCGTACAGTAACCGGATCTCAAAATTATATCAGGACTTGTCCATCTCCAGTACGTGTTTGAATGAAGCAGAGGAAAAAGCGCGACGTTTACCTCCTTTTCTGAAAATGAAAAAAGGCAGTTGAATTGGTTAATATATACACACAAGAATGTGAAGCATATGAAAATAATGATGGAAAGGCATTTTATGCTAAATTAAACGAAAATCTCAGAAGTGGAAACCCTGAACCAATCTGGAAAACAACGGGGGATTTACTAAGTGAAGGCTTGATACTCCTGGGTCCTGGAAAGTTCTCAAATCTCTACCGTTCCTGTCGTTGTTCAACTATCGTGGAAGGCACACAGTTTTCTTTCCACCAATTTGCCAGTACTTCTTCTGATGCAGAAGCCGCGTTTGAGTTTCTTGGAAGTGGTAAATCATTTATTCATATAATTGACGCCACAGGGACTGATATAGAAGAATATTCATCTTTTTCAAATGAAAAGGAGATTCTGCTACGTCCTGAGATATACCTTAACGTAGAGAAAGTTGAGACTGACAGTATACGAATTCGCCAAGAGATTAAGAAACTTGTGCCAAACAAGGACCCCCCGAACGGTGTCAAAGAGTTCGTCGTACTTCGTGGTTCTTCGACAAGAAGGATAAAGCGATCCAAATTCATAAGCACATGCGAATGAGATTCGCCTGATAACAATGTTGCTTTCCAACATGATTCTGGAAAAGGCCTACTTGTGGTGATAATAGGAATGATATTACAACACTATTGATTGTTCGTATTGGAAAGTGTATTCCTATATGTCGAAAATTTTTAAACTTTTATCTTAGAGCAAGCAATAGACAACATTTTTGACAACTCCACTTGACCTGTTCTGTTCTATATATCAGACTAATACACTATTGACAAGTTGTCTTCATTCTTTTCTTTTATTCGTCTATTTGAATATATATTGTAACCTTGTCTTAAAATATTAGTGCACTAATATAGAACCCATCCTTGCAAATAAGTTTAATTGCTCTGAAGTGAAGATGTTGGGAACAATACAACGAAACATTAGGCACTAAATTTTGCATTTGTTATGTCTTGTTTGAAAGTAATTTGCTTTAATTTAATTTTCATTTCAATTTAATCATTATTACCCTTTCCCCCAAGTGTCTTAATTAGCAGTTTAGACATGTTGGATTAATTAACCTGAACCGTAGAACGAGAACGAACGAGTAGCCTCATTAACTGAACGAGAGTACGGTTCACAATTGTTCATATAGGCGATTTCTATTGGCTATAAAACAAGTTTAATTATCACACCACATGACTTTGATTCGGTTTGAAATAATGTGGGGTCATATTTTAAACAAATTCTCGTAGGTATGATTCGCGTTGAAGATGTTTTTGAAGCAATTTTAACTGTCATTTGAACTAAACATTTGGCATCGAGTGCATGATGCTAGGCGAAACTGTTGGAATGTTCGTTCAGCAAGTATTGTTTTTAACGGTGCATTATTTATACCAACTTTTATGCTGTTAACTAGCTAAAAAACTAGAATAATCGCTCGATTAAGGCGTAAATTTCTTGGACTTCGGTTGAGATTAAATATCATCGTCTAGGAAGTGGTGCATGGTATATCCTTCGCCACAGTCTCCGCGCCGTCGATGGGATGTCCCTCATGCCATAGCTGTAGGAGGTAACTATGTGTTACCTGGGTCCTGGTATTATATAATAAGTACAGTGGAACATGCAATTTCATTGGTCAATAGCCGTGCAGGATCAGGCAATCTTGCACGAGGAATTTAAAAGCCTCGCGGGATTTTCAAAATATCACCATAGTACGTTATTTTATAAAACAAATACCAAAAGTTTTTTTCGTGCAGAATAGCGTGATCCATGCACTCTGGATGTTATGCTTTCCGAAATTCTCGCAACATCCCTCGTGCATGCATGGATCACGAAATGCACGGAAACCCACTTTGTAATCCTTTAGTAACCAACAACTACGGACAAGAAAAAAGAAGTTGGTTTGTTCGCTCGTATCAATTTTCAGTATTTACATGTTTCTCACCTTGGGAAAGTTGCATGTCGTTTACTTACAATAAAATTCCCTCATGTCTTTAGTGCATGTGCACGGCCCAGTTAAATAGCATCAGGTGTTGAATAAATCGCATTAGTGAGTAACATTTAAATTTTTCGGTTGATTCTATGACATTTATAGTTTATATTAAACTTTCCAAAACTATTTGATGCATTCTTTTCATCACGCATTCTCATTTAGTAAATTATTTCAATACAAGATTTTTGTTCAAGTTCAATAATGATTAACGTCAAATCATAGACGCTTTATGCTTTCCCATCCTGCTGTTGGGATGCTGTTGCTCTTGAAACTATCGATATTCCTGTATTGTATTCTTGCTATTAAAAAAAATCATACACAAATGAATCGGTATGCTACTCAGCACTTCCAGAGGATAAAAATCCTTGAAAAGGAATAATTTGCATGTGTACGGATCAATATGGGCATATAAGTACAGCTCTGGTTTACATATTAAGTCGAAAGGACTAGTGAAACTTCTAGTCTTACTTGCTGGCGACATTGAACTAAACCCAGGTCCTCGCTTTACTTGTATTACCTGTGTAAAAGACATCCGAAGAAATCAACTTAAAGCAAAATGCAAAACCTGTTGTGAATACTTCCATGCAAAGTGTATGATAGAAAACTTCGACGAAGAGTTATACTGCCGTGTGTGTCACAACCTGAGGCAACTAATCAAACCAACAACGATTGCTATAAAGAACTTCGATCGTTAACGGCAAATAGGGGGATGAAGATATTACATCAAAACGTGAATGGCATGCTTTCAAAAATAAATGCGATCCAGTTGTTGCTGGACAGCCAAAACAAAAATATTCATATTTTTGGCATCACTGAAAGCAAGCTGGACCCGACAATCACGGAAACAGAAATTCGAATTGATGCATGGCTACACCGGCGTGAGGTATGACAGAAAAAATGGCACGGGAGGAGGAGTATATGTATATATCCGCGATGATTTAAACTTTCAACGAAGAACAGATCTCGAAAGCCAACTTATCGAGGCAATATGGATTGAGATTTTTATTAAAAACTCTCAGTCAATACTCATTTGCATTACATATCGCCCTCCGAATTCATCGAACTATTTGAATAAGAATTTGACAATGAATTCAATAATGCTAACAACTGCAACAATGGACAATAAAGAAATTATTCTCCTGGGTGACATGAACTGTGATTATTCTAAACGTACCGACAATAGAAACCTGAAAGATATAATAAAAATCAATGGCCTGAAACAAATGATTACCAAACCCACAAGAGTCACAGAAAATACAAGTTCGCTCATAGACATTGTGTTAACAACACATAAAGAGAACTTTATGAAAGCTTTTGTAAATAAAGTTGGAATTAGCGACCACTATCTTACCGGTGTGATCAGGAAAACAAATTGTATAAAATATCTTCCGAGAAAAATTTTTGTCCGAAACTACAAAAATGATTCCGCCACAGCGTTTAAAGACAACCTTAGAAATCAACGATGGTTTGACGTGATATTTCACACAGACTTTAATACTGCATGGGACCAGTTCAAAACTATCATCAAAACACTATCGACCAACATGCTCCTCTCACAGAAAGAATCGTTCGTGGTAAGGACTGTCCCTGGCTAACGAGGGATCTTAAACAGATGATACACAAGCGTGATTATCAGCTGCGTAGTGCCAAGCGCACGAACAAACCAGAACATTGGAGCAACTATCGGAGGCTGAGAAATCAAACAACATACGCCATACGAAAAGCAAAGGCCAACTACGAACGATCAATCTTTATGGAGAATGATCTAAATCCGAAGGATTTCTGGCGCCAGGTTAAAAAATGTTACCCAGTTAAAGATAAAAAGTCTGTAAGCAAAACATTTATGATAGCAAATAAACCTGTCTCCGATAAACAAATTATCTTAAATGCATTCTGCAGATACTTCACGCACGTAACCTCGATAGTCAACCCATCGCTACTGAATTTCGTAGACCCTGCCTGGTCGCAACCTAATTTTATAAATGATCTTCCAGCTAAAGTGAACCCGGACAGCCATCGATTTCACTTTAGTGGCACGTATTACCAAGAAGTATTGGGAGTCTTAAAGTCAATCAGCGCCTCGAAAGCCGCTGGTTTGGATAATATTCCTCCCAAGCTAGTCAAAGACGCTGCAGAGGAACTTGCCATGCCATTAACCACTCTTATAAACCGTAGCCTGACGTGCGGACTTTTTCCAACCACTGAAAAAATCGCTAAGATATCACCAATTTATAAGTCAGAAGATAAAACCGCTCTTGACAACTATCGACCCATTTCAGTGCTACCAGTGTTCTCAAAAGTACTGGAAAGAATCGTCTATAATCGCCTGTCATACTACCTCGAGGAACACAAACTTCTTAATAAATCGCAGTTTGGATTTCGTCGAAAACGATCAACCAAGCACGCCGTGACAATCCTCATGGACGACATTAGAACAAACATGGACAATCAACAGTTGACAGGAGCTGTGTTTCTCGACTTACGAAAGGCGTCTAATACAGTGAATCACGCACGTCTCCTTAATAAACTACCCTCTTATGGCATTACTGATGTTGAGCTACTGTGGGTATCAAGTTATCTGTTTGCTCGAACTCAGGTTGTAAACTTCGAAGGGACGTTATCAGAAGAAAACCATATCACCCACGGAGTACCCCAAGGCTCCATCCTTAGCCCTCTCCTGTTTGCGCTACTAATTAATGATGTAGGAACCGATTTATCACAATGTAAAATCATTCTTTATGCAGATGACACTGTTATTTATTTCAGTGACAAGAATGCTTTGATTATTGAAAGTACCTTAATTAAATGAGGAAGTAAATCGAATTGCGATATGGATGAAAGAGAACCACCTGACGCTCAATCTAAAGAAAGGAAAAACAGATTTTGTCTTATTTGGAACGGCGAAGAAGCTGAGTAAGGAACCCCAAAAAATCAATGTAAATATAAACGGAGAGAAGGTGAATGAAGCAA